TTATATATTATAATATTCATCAGAGGTATTTAAAGTACTTACAAGAAATAACTAAGTAAAGTAAAATACCTTAACAGGAAATGATTTTGGTAAAAGATGAATTTCACTAATAAGAAAAAGTACTTAAGTAAAAGAGATAAAACTTCTCACAATAATGGGGAAAGTAAAAGTACTTTTATACACACTCTAAGTGTTGAATTTACTTAACCAAGTTTAGTGGAACCAGTTGACATTACTTGATTATGTAAATTCAACACTTAACGACTCCTTTCATGATGARTTTCGGTTATATTTAAATTTGTAATGTGTAAAGAGAAGTTAAATTTTAAAATGAAGTAAAAGTATAATATTTAGGTTTTGAATGTAGCAAAATAAAAGTAAAAATTACAATAAAAATACTTAGTCAAATTACAAGTCCTCAAAAACTGTAAAGAAATAAATTTACTTTGATTTCTGCCAGTGTTCGTCTTCACAGATTCAATCAGACTTGAGAAATTTGTTGAATATGTGCCCTGCACATTCTCCTGTCATGTCTAACATTTTCTTGTTCTCTCTTTTATTTATTTATTTATTTATTTTTTTTTAGTTTTAACAAAGGTTCCGAGAACAATGACAACAAAATGGAACTCCGGACTCTTCAGCTGTTGTGATGACATGCTTTCCTGTAAGAATCACACATTTCTAATCCTACTCAGAATTACCATTTAAAGAAGCTGCAATTTCTAATTTTGCATGTCCTTTTTTTCAACCACACAAAGAATAAAAATGCTGACTTGAACCTGCTTTGTTTCAGGCTGCTATGGTTTCTGGTGCTGCCCCTGCCTCGCCTGCAGCGTTGCAGGAGACTTTAAAGAAAACCGCTGCCTTCCTTTGTGTGACATATGCAGTCCTGCTCTCATGTCAGCCTTTGGGATACCTTTGTGTGTGCCTCCTGCAGGCTTAGCTTTGAGGGTCGCCATTCGAAATCGATATGGAATACAGGTAGGAACCTATTTAATGTGTATCTTTTTGTTTTGTTTTGTTGTTGTTAGAATGGCACATCTGAGTATAACTTCTCACAATCACTTAAAGAAGTCATGCTGTATGACWGTTTATTAAAGCTGACCAGGTTTGATACTTTTGCTCTACAGGGTTCACTCTGTAAGGATATTGCCACTTCCTGCATCTGTGTGTGGTGCAACTGGTGCCAAATGCACCGAGAACTAAGATATCAAAGTGGCCATGCACCCGTCAACCTTCAGCCGCGATAAAGAGAAGCTGTAATTTCCCTTTTACCTTCCTTTTTTTTGTGGTTTATGGTGACATTTTGTCTTTTTTATTATTATGGTACTGTTTAACAAACACCTACGACTACAACTTGATTAAGACCTTATTTTATTAAGTAGCTTTTAGGTTTGTTATGGATCATATTTCTGAATTTTGTTTTGTTAATATCCAAACATGCTTGGTTTATATTTAATCTCTGTAATCCCATGACAAAGATGGTTATGTTTTACATCACTTCCAATGTGCATTAAGTGTTTGTATGTTTTCAGAAATGATTTAATGTAAAATTGAACAAAATAAAAGTAATAAAGGATGTTCATGTGTGAATGTAAGAGTGATCTACCTCTGATTCTGATATTAGACCAACGTTTTTTTTCTGTTACGATTTACATGTGTGGTAAAAAAAAAAAAACCCATGTTATTGAGAATGTTGTGTTTTCATGAAGGCTTTTTACTTTTAAAACCGTTAATGATCTGCAACAACAGTCAAAACTGTTCATTTTTATTATACCACTGAATTTCTTGAAGTTGGTTGATTATTTGACTTAATTTTTTTTTTCATTTTTCATTTTATTCTTTGTCAGTTATATTTTAAAAATTGCTTTATCTGTTTCCAAAAATAAAGACATAAAAAAATAAACTCTGATGTGACTTATCCTGATCCTATTCAACACAAGTAAAAAATATTTTTCCCAAGATTAATTTTATTTGCATGAAACCTTGTAAAATATGGGAACAAAATGAGATCAAAAATTTAGTCCATTTGCCCAAAGCATGGATATGTATAATATTAAAATACTGTAGGGGAGATTGGGGTAAGTTGAGCCAAAGGGTAAGTTGAGCCACCCCTTGTTGCAAGGAAACGGTAAACAAAATTCATCATGTGACCAAATATTTAGGAACTTCATGGACTCATTTCATGGAGTCTGTGAAGGTAAGAACCACACGGGTAAAGTGGTTAGACATTTATTTCTGAAAAAACATTTTTCACTCTTGAAAGTGAATTTAGTCTATCATAAGTTTCACGAGAATTGTGTTTAGACCAAAATAAATACTTTTAAATTTGTTTTATACATCAATTGTGGTTTCTATGTGCTACAACATGAGGTCTTAAACCTAGCATAAAAGTGCACCATTTTAGCTGTGGGGACCAATAATGTCAAAATGGTAGCTCTGGGGTAAATTGAGCCATTTGGCTTACCCCATACACTTAAGTGTATTTTGGCTGTAGCCTATATGTCTTAAAGGGGACCTATTGTGCAAAATTCACTTTTTAAAGGTTTTTTTTTACTCAACTTTGAGCATGTACTTCTTAAAAATAAAAAYAGTCCTAGGACCAAAAAAATGTGCCCAGGGCATATTTACCGTAAGTAAATGTATTTTTAATGTATATTAACGCTAGCAGCCTCGCACCGAGGACGTTTCCATGTCATCATTTACCCAGAATGCTTTGCGTGTAATGGCCCCATCCGTGTAATATATTTTTAAACTTTTAGTTTAAAAATGATAAAAACTGAACATCCTACAGTATTTTTCAGTCTTTATTTTACAGTTAAAATATGTTTATTAAATAAAGTCTAATTTTACAAGTAATCATGGATCCCTTTAAAATCTTGTGAGACAGTCTGAAGCCATGCTATGGGACTGATAACCGCTAATAACGTCCATTTAATGGATTGATAACATTCGGAGCTGGTGGTTTTTACGCACATAACATTATTATAAACCACTGCAGACATGCTATTGATCAGTGTATTGTATGTTTTCTACAATGTGTTAGCAATCTTGTTCCTCTCATGAAACCAATGAAAAATGTCCCTGCAGCTTCTAAAATGCTTTGATAAAATGTATAGTCAGTGAAGTATTCTATCAGTTCATTATTGCTCAATAATTACAGAAAGTCGCTGTGAAAATAAGAAAATAGACACTTTTTGCATTTTGTCACAGCTCTGTTTGGAACTATTGAGAGCTATATGAACCATGTGATTGTGTGTCGGCTAGTTCAAATAGTTCAGAGTGTCACAACTGTCTCTCTGTATAGGGCTCTGGTTTGGTATTCATCTAAAATCTCCTGTACTTCCTTGTTGATGCAGGACAGGTAAATGTTGTACGATGGGTCATAACTTCCTGATGATTCATGTCTGATAACCATCTGAGTTAATCAAATTTAGTCAAATTTGAAGTTCTGTACTTTGTCAAAGCAAACCTGCTCTGTAGGTAGTGTAATCACATTTAAATTGGCATTCTAATATGACATTCTAATATATTTTTAAAGACAAACATTTAATAACTGATGTTAGCAAAACAAACTCATGGCAGTGTATGTGTTTTTGGGATTCAGACGCTGCAGCTACAAGTTTAGAAGTTGTACAGTTCTTTGCGTATGACTTTTTGCAACAAATAATAAAGAACAGAAATGCAAATTAGTTTATTTTTGCAAACATCACGCACTTGCACACAATGTTTTTTTTGCATGAACAGCCAGTATTATTATTTTATTATTATTTTTAACACCATTAATATTGTATTTTAAACCTAAAAACGTTTTATATTAGAATCTCATGAGAAGAAGTACTGTATTTTGTCAATAAAAAACTAAAACAAGGATGTTTACAGGAAGAAGCTTTAAATAACATCAGGGAAAATTCATGCTGAATCAAAGGCAAATTAATGTAAATTATGTATAATATGCATGTAAAGGGTTAACTGTCAGAGCTACTGTAATCAGAACTTCATATCGCACACCAAACCTCATAGTGTCAATCCACAAGGCTTCCAGAAGTGGACAGTACTATAAACATTTGACAGGTAGGACTGTATTTTTTCACTTTATATATTATAACCATATATCTTACATAAATAAGTATACATACGTACATGTATACACACACACATATACATATATA